CCGAATCTGTTCTCGACGTAGACTCAACCACAACGAGTTCACTCTATCGCTTTTCGTATTTCTATCTCTGTCTGTCTCTTCGCCCGTTCCGTTGAACGGTATTGTTGAACGCACAGCCAGCGCAAAGTCATAGTGTGAAAACAAGCACTAAGTTATTGTTATTGCATTTTTAATTAATTGTTATGATAGTAACAGATGTTATCTAACTTTGAACACTGCAGTTTTACGATTTTTTTTCGTCCCATTCGTTCATATTCTTTTTGTTAGATCATATGTCTCTGTGTCGCGCTCTTTCTCACTTTTGTGCAATTCAGTCTCTTTTTTTTGTAGTTGTTGTATTTTCTCCGTTCTTCCTGTTGGCTTCATCTTCTGTTGTCTGGTCACTATGTGTTTCAAATCTAAATTTTGTTTCGTTCTCAGTTACGCCAAGGGACCGTTGACATTGCTTTTATCATTCGCCATTTGCCATCAAACACACCAGAGTCACATACTACGTCCCGTTTACACTCTCGTCCGCAAATGATTTACATTCTTTACACACTTTTTTTTCTCTCTCTTAATGCTTTTCGTCGAAATCTCGTTACCAATTATAAGATGAATCGTGTCCTGAACAATTTCATTCGCTCGTTTATTCACTATTCATTTGATTTTCAGCATGTTTGCTGAAATCGGCTTCATTAACATGTCTTGACTACATTTTCATATTCTTGAATTGCTGTGCAAAAGTCGGAAATATTTCATGCTCTTTTTTAGTCCTTCTCTTGCTCTAATTAATCTATCTCTATTTCGAGTTCTTTTTTAAATTCTGCGAATAAAAAAAGCCGAGTTGGTACGATAGCCATGAGAACTTGCCATCAAAATTTGTGTCTTTGGAGCGAGAGGTGAACGAGTCGACATCTCACTAATTTCCCATAATCTAGTTAACAGAGAAGCATTTTATTGCGTTTTATGTGGAGCTGTTTTTCCGTTGGACATGACCAACGCTCGGAATCAATTCATCATTGGCCGGCATTTTTTGTGTCTCATAGCTCACTTTTTCTATTTCTCTTTTTCTATATTTCTCTTTCCCACACATAACCCTCACACCGTCGATCTCTCTCGATCTCGTTTCTGGTCTACTTCAAACTATTGTGAAATTTGTGTGATGTTCTACGTGTAAATTGATTTTGGTATGTCAACATGGAGATTTAACATTTTCGCATAGCGAAATTGTATGCGTTTTTTCGTTGTTGTTTCACATTCGATGTATGAATTTTTGCATTTAGCAATGAAATAACGGGTCTCATTCTTCTCATTCGCATATTGTGTGCTTTAATCGATTTGAGTCGTTTTTCAAAAAAAAAAAATCTCTCTCTCTCTCTCTCTCTCTCTCTCTCTCTCTCTCTCTCTCTGAGTGTTGTATTCTCATTCCATTCGATTGTTCGTGCATGTAATTTGTCGACACAGCTCTGCATACAGCAGCAGGTTCAGTTAAAATAAATTATTCAGCATTTTTATCCCGCCTGAAGTGTAAAACCGTACAACAGTCAAAATGTGCACACAATGGATTTCTATTTGTCAGCGAGAGAGAAAGATATGTGTAAAAATCACCTAAAGCAAACCAAAATGAACCGAAGAGAATAGAACAAGAGGCAAAAAAACATCAGTAAAACTGAATTTTAATGCTGCATTTGGAGAAAAATAGAAAACGAACACAGCAGACAACACCGCTAGGAGTCAAAGAGGACACAAACACATACACATCCATATGAAAGAAGAGAGAAAAAAAATTATTTCGTAAAAATGCCCCGAATACCACATTTCGAATAAAATGAAATCAGCCAGTCGTTGAAAACAAAAGAATCATTAAGTAAATGTTGATTATGGAACGAAATTGAATGGAATTAAATTGCTTTGGTTGTGTTGCGTTGCAGCAAAATTTGTGTTATGTGAAAAATGATGGGCACGACAAATGGAAAGCATCAACAATAACGAACGAAACGAAAAAAAATGTGTGCACGTTGTGTATAAAGTAATTGAAACATCGAGACAAAATATTGACACGACAGCAAAAATTCGCATCAAAGAACATCACCACATTTGATTTGTGCGCGAATAAAAAAAATGTCGAAGGAAATTAACGAAAAAAGTTTTTATTCTTTTTGTTATCGCTAGCTAGTTCAATATATGCATATTTGCTTGCACTTTCCAATCGCCCTTTTTTTCAATCGTTCTCTCTGTTATCGGTCTTAGTCTCTTTCAGTTGACTTTGTATGCATTAGTTCACATTTATCGTTCATATTGTTAATAATTCATTGGTGCGTTGCTTACATGATTTGATCTCCCATTTGTGGGAGAGCGTGTGGATGGGGACTGAGAATGGAGCGTTGAACGATCAAACGAATGAACAACGGCTGAAAAAGCAACAATCGAAACGATTTTAACATACTACGTAAAATAAACATGACCGGATAAAAGCTAAATGTATTTTCGAAATAGACGAAAAAAAACACGCCGAGTGTATCGTTTAATTAAATTCTATTGTCATTGTTATCACTCGACCATTAACTCAATGTACTACCCCGATTGACAGTTCGTATGTTCACTTTTTCGTTCGACATGAATTCATGTATCGTGCGAAACTGTCGAGCGTTAAAGCGCAATTAAGAAACTATTCACTTCAGTTTTGGCCTCATCTACATAGTATTCGCGTGTGAAAGAGAGAGGAAGAGTAAGTGAGAGACGGAGAAAAAGAGAGAGAACGAGTACCGACAGACAGAGCTCAGTGGCAAAATAAAGATAGATTTTGTTCAGTGGATGATACGAGTTCCTATTATATGGAAGGGTATAAAAGATCCGATGAGAGGATAGCGGACAATGAACAAGTCAATTGTTCTTTTTTTGTTGTTGTTGTTGTTGTATTGCTTACGCATTCTGTCAGTTCTCTTCCTGTTCACGTTTCTATTTGCTATGCTATGACACTAGCACCACAATGCCGTCGACTTGCTGCTGTGCAAACGCAAAATAAAACTTCGAACGAATAAATAAACAAATCCGATACAATCGAATGCATATTGTGTAACGATTTATTGGAGCGATAACACATTTTAGCGTTGTCTTCATCTCCGTCTCCCGTTTATTTGTGTATGCCATTTGGCTTCGATGTGTGTGCAATACGATGTTAAGCCAATTTCATCTATATTAACACGCACAGATGACCACTGATTCAAACTGTGTATGTATATTCAGTCTTTTGCACTCCCAAGTCATCATTCGGCGTGTACGAAACGACAACGACTTCCACTCAAATAGAAAAAAAAAACCACACCATACACAGAAGAACCAAACAAATGTAATGCTCAATGCATATAAATTCACTTGAATTATGCATGCTAAGATTTTTATTCAGTGATAATGGAGTGATGTTCGTAGTTCTCGTCGCCATTGTGCCGAAATTCACCAAAAGCAAACACACACACATTACCACCACCATACGCTCGCTCCTCGCATCGAATCGATCTCAATGAAAAACAATGGCTGTGCTTGTTATTATTTTCTTATTCGTCATTTTCTTATCAGACAACTATAAAAACGAACACGCTATTTTACCGTGTTCGATACACACTCACGAACGGAAAGTAAATAGAAAATGCAATGAAATGAGGAAAGAACGCCGTTCGTGGCCTCAAAATCAACTTGCAAAGCAAATTTATTTTTATTTATTTCAGAAAAACCAGCAAACATTGAATGTAACGTTATGATAATTAACTAGTCTGTGTGGAAGAATCTGTGAGCATAAGCTCACAAAACGATATAGCGGATTACACAACATAATAGCTTTTGCCAGTGTGGAGATTTTGTGATAATCCAATGGGAATGGGGGGGCCACACAAAGATTTCGGTGGAAATTCCTTTTATATGCTAACGGTTCCTGTTTGAGGATGGGCGAACAGTAAAATTGGAAATTAACTTTTCTGACGATTGACAGACTCATTTCGAATTCACTGCTCGGAAAATGTCATTTCAATAGAAATAAAATTCAAGAAATCGAAAGCGAAAGGATTTATCAGTTCGAGGGGTCGAAAAAATCGACTTTCAAAATTGAAGACGAATTCATTGTCAAATGTAATCATCACAATCATGAATACCGATCTAGTCATACGCTCTTTTTTCGATTGAACTATACTTAACACATGATTTTTTCCACAGTATCAATCATTCACTCACTGAACACGTGAGTGACAAACATGTACACAAAAATTAACTCTTATCCCATTTAGAGATTAATTAAACGTTAAGTCAATTTTTTTGCTTAGTAACTTATTGTTATGCATGGCTTCTACTTGTCTATGTGGACGTCATACGACATTTATAACGCCAAGTGTCAGTTGAAAACACACGTTCCATCTTTTGGAAAAATACATCTCTTACAGGTAATCCTTGAAATTATTTAATCAAATAGCAACTGGCAAATAAATTTGGTACGCGAAATGCTATCAATCATAAATTACGTTCTTAAGACTTGATGCTAAACTGTTTGTTTAATATTTTTTATAAGTTTTATCAAAGCGCATTGTTTCTGGAATAAGTCAACACGGATTTTTATCGTAAAACCCGAATTCCGCTCAGATTTTTTTTCATAATGTCGATTTTATCAACAGTAATGTCATGAATTTGGACTTTTTTCCTTTCAATAATATGAATTGTGTGTAAAAAGCAGAAAATATTTCAATGATATTCTGAGACTAACAATTTTGCTTCGATTAAAAAATGATTTTCGTCCGGATTTGAATAAGAAGTGCCCGGATTCGCCCGGGTTACATAAAGCTCTGAAAATACATGCAAACCCAAAAACAGCACTTAGTTCTTTTGATATTTTGAGAGTATAAATCACATTGATTATCTGTATTTTTGACGTTCACATGCCATGTCCACGATCAAACAAGAATAGAAGAATAAAGAAATAAAAAAAGATAAAAAAGAAGAAGATAAAAAAATGATGACATAACAATTCATTTAAATATGCTAAAGTAGCACTTACTATTCAACATTTTAGTTTTGGCATTCAATTGGACACATTCACAAACATGCTTCGTTCAATTTCTATTTTAATCGTATCGCTTTGCCTGTTGGTGTCATTTGTGGTGAGTTATTAAAAAATTTCTTCGCTTAATTTATTATCTTTGTGTCGTGTGTTCATAGTTTACTATTGGTTTTGTTCAAAAATTGTAGCAACCATATGATGTGGAGCAATTACCATCACCGCAATGTGGAAACAGCAAGAATCCACATTGGGATCAAAATACTCGAAGTTTATACTATGTTGATGTTGTCGCTTCCAAGTCGTATCTTTTACGCTATGATTATGACGAAAACCGTGTTTATCAAGCAACCATTGACAATGCAACAACTTTAGTGTTTATGTTACCAATTGAAGGTGCTCCAAACCATTTTTTGGTTGGAATAGATCTTAAAGCAGTTACCGTTTTCTGGGATGGACGATCACCAAAAGCTGTCGTTAATTCGACATCAGTTTTTGAAATCGATGAAGATTCATCACATCGTATAAATGTGGTTAAAACAGATCGATTTGGTCGATTCTATGGTGGTAGTTCAACAATGAAATCATGTGCTACGGTTACTGTTGAAACGGCCGCATTTTATAAATATACCAAAAGTACGGGTTTAATTAAAAACTTTGGCGATGTGTTGCGTTCGAATGGACTTACATGGAATCGATCAAGTAACAAATTTTACTATGCCGACTCATGTGACTATAATGTCGTTGAATTTGACTGGGATCCAGACACTGGCAATTTAAGTAAGAATTTATTTTGATGGAAAAAATCATTTGAATCGATTTAATGCCACCATTTTTTTCGAATAGCCAATGGCACTGAAATTTTTTCACTTGCTGAATATGACACAAAGCCGGGCTCTGTCATCGATGGAATTACAGGTGATTTAGATGGAAATATCTATATGGCTATATATGGTGATAACCAAATTATAAAACTCAATCCCACGTAAGTTGGATATGATTTTTTTCGAGTCATGTCAAAATTACAACCTTTTTTTAAAGTGGTACTTTTCATAACCACAAAAACTTCTTTCTTTATGTTTTTAATGCAGAACCCGAGAAGTATTGCTGAAGATAGATATGCCGATGAATCAAAGTGTGGGTGTAGAATTTGGTGGACCGAATTTGGACATCTTGTTTGTAACGACGCGTTACATTGATGGAAAGCAACCAAATGGCTCTGGTCATTTGTTCAAAATTACTGGATTAAAGACAACTGGGCACGCAGGTGTAAAAGTCGATCTTTCATAATTCCTGAATTGTGTTTTTTGGAACTAAAGTTCGCAGCTTTCTAAGCATTTTTTAAAAATAATGAGTGAAAAAATAAATTACACACTTTATTTCGTTCCATTGTTGATGTTTAAAAGAAATTATTTAAAACGGGTAATTCAAATATTTCAATTTTGAAGTCAACCCATGAGAATTGTATGCATTTATGACAGTAAAATTGAAAATGTCAGATTTCAAGTTTCGGTTGATTGAGCCAATTCTTCTAATTCCCACGAGAAACTATCAAATCGTAATTTTTCTATTTTATTAATTCTGTTGTGCAAATATTAATTAGTTTATAATATTATTGCACCTCAAAGTATTATAATAATGCGGTTGATAGAATCAAATTAAGAAAGCAAAGGAGGTTTGTTTGTTGAAACGGTGAGCAAAGCTGAAGGTGATTTAATTCCAACCATTCTTAAGTTTTACAACCCTTTCTTAATCTTGTATTAAACTTGACTTGAAAACCAGAAAATCGATAGAGAAAAAGCGAATATTCAAATGAAAATCCGAATAAATCCTCAATAAAATGTTAGAAAAAGCTTTTTTCTTACATTGTATCGTTTGTGTAGAGGTAAAGCTTAGTATTGGTATAAATTTATTATTAGACGGGCAATATTAACAATGAGAAAAGGTATGGAGCGAAAAAAAAACGAGCTTCTGCCTAGTTTGATCATTAATTATAGAAATATGTATGCGCACATTGTAATGTATGTGTAGTGACTTTTTGCAAACGCCAGTGCATATTTAAGTGTTTAAAGTGCAAAAATTATGTGAAATTTTAATTAAACACAAATTTTTCAATGTTTTGCGCCGTCGCATGCCAATGTGCTATAAAAGTCAAAGGGTGAAAATGTTATGTTACATGCAATAGCAAAAGCTGCACAAAATAAAAGAGAGACAGAGAGAGCACAAACGGTGGCATAAAGAATTGTATTAAAGATTTAATGCGATGTGAACTGTGAAATATAGTTATCGTGCACAGCGCATTTTTTTTTTCGGCGATATTTTTTTTCTTCTCAAATGTTGAAAGTTGTCAAAGCACATGCCCATAAACTGTTCAAATATATGGCTAGAAAACTCATAAAGATATCACATATAATAATAAGAAATAAAAGTGGATCACTTTTTACATGAATAAGTTACACTTTGCCACCGAAAAACAAACACCGCATATTATTACCGCGCGCCAGAGTCTATTGGAAATGGCGAAAAAAAACGGGGCAAATAATCTATTTTAAATATTTATATATATGAATGAGAAAGTTGGAATAATTTAAAACGCAACGAATGTGTCAAGGTTGTGAGTTTATTCAGACTGCTATTGAAACGAAGATGGATTTTCAATTGATTTGAGTTCAATTCGCGTGCAAAAGCACCATTCACCTAAATTGAATATAAGCTAAATGGTTTTTGTGTTCTTATTTGATTCAATCTCACACTTTCTACCATAATAATACATTTTCCGCACACAATTTGTTAAGTCTTAGAAATACACACGCGGCAGTAGCACACATAAAGCACAATGGTGGCAATTGAATGAGTTCTTTTATCATTTTCGAGAGAGAGAGTACAAAAATGACGCGTAATATTGATTGCGGTTGTCTCTATTATTTGCATTTATCCCATTGTGATTGCTTAGTGTTTCAATCAGTTTTCTTGAATGGTTCAGGTTCTTTTTTTTTCGCATTCATTCATTTTCGAAATATCGTACATAAGCCGATTACCATCAAATATACGACGTTGAAGCGCGAATCTAGAATCACTTCTTAAATAACATGAAAAATCAAAATGAAATGAAAAACGGAAAGAAAACATTTCAAAACACACACACACACACTCTCATATATCTATATGAGTGGAAAATACCTGCGGTAAATGTATATGTTTGGCTGAATTTCTGAATTTCTATCGTAATCATTATCAAAGCATTTAGCAAAACAAAGTGAGAAAATGAGGGTAGAATGCGAGGAAAAAAGCGATACCGAACGAAATGTGTCAAATAATCGAATTAAAATTAATTTGGAAGCCCCATAATCTGTAACCGGATTGGAAAAGAGCTATTTAATCGTATTAGTGTTAGGCATCGTTGGAAAATTGCTGAATTTAAGATATGAGTAACCGAACGAGAGGCGACCATAGCCCAAAAATCGATTGCTTTTCAAAGGCAACACACACACACACAGCTGGCGTTTTCAATTTGCACCACAATTCATTTCAATCACACTAAAATTTCGAAAATAGTATTATTTTCACATACAGCAAACACTAATATGACGATTTCAATGATATTATTGCCAACGCGCGCGCGTGTGTAAGCGAAAATGGCTCATTCTCGCTTCACTCGTTCGGGATTTGTGTGTGTGTGTGTTTCACCTCTCTTTTCCGCACATTATACACATTGCATTCGGCCCAAAAACCTACCTACTAAGCTTAATTCCACAATTGTCCCTTCACATACGTACACACAAACACGTCACGTTCATTTCATACAGAGACACATACACAGAGAAAGAAAGAAAGAGAGAGAGAGAGAGAGAGAGAGAGAGAGAGAAACAATCCTGTGATACGAATTTCTGGTAAAATTCATTTCGATTCGGACCAATTAATCCGATTTTATGTTACCAAATGTTTTTACGACTTGTTCTTTCGTCTAATTGCACACTTTCGATTCCTCAGTTTGGTGTCAATCGAATTGATATTGCATAATCCCGAATTTCAATTTCAAACTTTCTGCACGTTGTGCCCGAATTGAATTGAAAGGAAAACACAATAAAAACAGCAATTTCCATTTTTGGGGAAAATCACTTTTCAATGGCGAATTCACTTTGAATGTGCATAGGATTGAATGCGTACTATTTTTTTTTCTATCGCTCTCTCCCAATCAAACCAGCTCACATTTGTTCTCTTTTCGAATCGAAATATACATTGAGAATATTTCAAATTGAACGTCATTTCCATTCACACAGTTGTGGCAGTTGGCATGTTGCCGAATGATAAAAAGCAAATACATACACACCATTTACTCATTAAAAAAATTATATTCAATGCGTTTTCAAGAGCGATAAGAAGAGCATATATTTCAAAAAATGAGACCAGCTTATGAAAATGGCATCCAGCTATTCAAATAATCATATAATATTACAAACGAATTGGTTTGTTGCCAAAAAACTGAGAATATGAAAAAATCGAGACACTTTTTAAACTCAATCATTTTTATGTATTTTTGTGAATACACAAAAAAAGAATTCTATCGAATTTCTTAACTCGGATACGAAGTTTTTCTTCTGATTTAAAATGTTCGATATCGGAGTTTAAAGTATATCATCGATTGAAGTTTTACATTTCAAAAAAAAAAAATTAAAATATCAACGAAATATACGTCTATTATATCGAAAACATTAGGCAAACTGTTTGAAAACGAAAAATGTAAAGTTATTGAAGTGGAAATTGTGATGTGAAGTAATATGTTGAGAACTAAATTGAAATGCATTGAAAAATCTAAACTTTTTTTGAATCAACAACAACAAAAAAATCCAAGTTGCGTTGATTCCAATGTTGTTAAAGATAACGATGGTTATAAAAAAAGAGAGAGCGAAGAGAACAGCATCAACGATGATTATGACAGAAACACATCAACCAATCAAGATGCGTGTGCTCGTCGCCTTACACACACATACAATTGAATAATTCATGGTAAAAACTGTGAAATCCTCTATGATTTGACTTGTGGACAAGTTGTGTCTTTGGCTTTGTTATGTTGCATGATGCATTCGGTTCTTTTTTTTGTCATACTCACAATAGCTTTAGCCAACATTCTAAAATTATTACTGCAATGGTCTGCATAACAATAATTGCTAATGATTGTGAAATTCTGAAACGACCACTATGTTACGCTGTATTCGAATATGCAAGTGAAGTTTGAGTAAATGCCGTCGATTTTGCAACTATTATTGTTATTATTCGTAATTTTGAGAATGTGAATGTGTGTGTGTGTGTATGCGTACGCTCTCAGTCATCAAGTTATTGTCTTCACCATTGTGGCTTCCTCTGTTGAGAAGTTGTGTTATGGACGATCCCGGCATGCACAATACTGTATTTTGGTCAATCTTTATGTGATGATTGGTGATTTGAAACGTTAAAAACGACATTCAAAAGCCTGTAAATTTCCTCATTTTCATCTTCTGTCTGCATTGGCAATGCCGATGCCTTGTCAGTGGTGCCCATTCTCTTTGCACTGTGTCACACCATCTCGTTGTCGTTTCACAGCCGCATTATGTTTCAGAGTTAGTATTAAACCCTTGCAATCAGAAACCATTCAAATGCAAATGTTACAATTCACAAAACTTTTACTCAAATAACAAATCAACTATGTTGTCGTTATTTTTTCTATCTCCTCCTCTGTTTCTCGATCTGTGTGCTCGATGTAGAAAGCCTCTGCTGACTGACTCTCTTTTGCTCCAACCCTGTGTGTGCATTTGTTGTTGCTGTCGCTTCGTTTGGTGTGCTTCCATTTCCATTTCATTTCGTTTTGTCTTTGGTGTTTCGTACACGAATGAGAGACACTTTTGCATTGTAAATGCACTCACTCAGTATCTCTAGATATGAATATGGAAAAATGAAAAACTTTAGCGTTTGTTGAGCCACAAAATGCAGCAATGAATGCAGGAGAGAGAGAGAGTGAAAGAGCAAAAAACAAAAACTTTAAATAAAAATAGTAACAAAATCGAAAAATAGGATAAATAATTTCAATGGCACACACACATTTTTTGAGAAAAAGAGAGAAAAAAAACTTTATACTCGGGCCCGGACGAACGTTGTTGCGTGGGTTGAAGTTAGAACAGCAAAAAGAAAAAGAAATAGAGACTGCATCAACTGGCAGTTGTATTAAACTGGCAGTCTCTCTGCCGTATTTGTTCATTGCTTCTTGCCAATGGCCACAAAAACGAAGACATGAACAGAGAGATAGATAAAGGCAGCCGCATTTTACTACCCTCTGCCCTCCGCATCTTCGTAATATAGAGATGTGTGTGTGTGAGAAGAGAAAACACGGAAAAACCACAGACAAAAGATAAAGATTATTACCAACTCTGGCCAAAAAATAGAAACAAAACCGGAGACAATTTCGTTGAAAAGTTTTAATGCCGATTTCATTCAATAGCATAATGGCTGAGCTGAACAGATCAGCGCACCACATAAACACATGAGCACTACTGCTACATACACACAAGCATCGATGA